TGAGGGAGGTCCTGGGCCTCCAGGAAGGTGTTTGGGAGTCGGTGGGGCCCGGGAGGTTGAGGAAGGCCTTGAGGGGGGGCAGGGAGGGCTCTTCAGGGCAGTTTTAGCGGGAGGTCCCGGGTGTCTTTGGGCCGAGCCCAGGGGGGCTCACGAGGACTTGAGGAGGCTTTGGGGGGGAGGGAGGGCTTTAAAAAAGAGTCCCCGGGGGTGTACGAGGAGGAGTCCGACACGAGGAGTCCTGGGGAGGAATCCCTGGGGGTGCAGTGCTTTTCTGGGAGGAATCATAGACCATGGAATGGTTTGGGTTGGGAGGGACCTCAAAGATCACCCAGTTCCAACCCCCCTGCCATGGGCAGGGACACCCTCCACTACACCAGGTTGCCCAAAACCTCATCCAACCTGGCCTTGAACACTTCCAGGGATGGGGCAGCCACAACTTCTCTGGGCAACCTGCTCCAGTGCCTCACCACCCTCGGAGGGAAGAGTTTCTGCCTTATTCCTCCAAGGCTTATATAGCCCAGGAAGGGGTGATCAGCAGTGGGGTGAGAGAAGGTGCCCTGCATGGGTGCGGTCCCAGGCTGGGGTGTGGAGCGGGGCTGGCAGCAGCACTGGGGTGGCCCTGGAGGGCAGGCACCCAGGAGAGTGCTCATGTTGGGTGAGTGCCATGGGGAGGGACTCGGGGTGGGTACAAGGAGATGGGAAGCCTTTTGGGGAGCAGCCTTAGGGGTAAGGCTCTGGGGAGGGGTTGTCTTGTAAGGATTAATCCTTCCCGGGTAGGGAGAATTTGAGGGGTTGGTCTTCCAGGGGAATTGAGGGAGGTCCTCAGGCCGTGGGGGTGTCTGGAGGGATGCTTTGCTGCAGTGGGAGGCCCTGGGAGTTGGGAAGGGGCTTTGAGGGTGTTGGGTGAGGTGGAAAAGAGGTAGCCTTGGTCCCATGGGTGTGGGGCTTCCACCTGGGCAGGTCTTACTCTACACCTTCAGGCAAATGTTGGTGCAGTGCAAAGGGTGTTGGCTCTTGGGGCCAGCTGGTGTTTGTGTGAGGGGCTGCCCTCATCCGAGGTGGGACAGGCCTGATTGCAGGGTGAACGGTGTTGAGTTGGTAGACTTACATAGTGTAAAACAATGCATCTTTAACGAGCTACAGGGGATGGGCTTTTGCATACCTGTGTCATAGATGTGAAGGCTTGTAAAGTGTGAGAGGGCTTCTGGCTCTTAAGGCCTGGTAGGTGCTGCGGATGAGGACTGGAACTGTTTTGTGGCGGAAGAAGGGGCTGGGGAGCCTCTTCCTGGGGTCGATGACGCCTTTTGGGACCTTCTGCCTGGGGTCAGCGACATGTTGGGCCTGCGTTTCAGCTGCAGCAGGAGGCAGGGGCTCGGTTGAAGAGCAAGCTGGATCTCAAGGTCTTTTATTTCCGCACGGAGTGTTGCACATACACGGCACCAGGAAGCTGCCGCGCGGTCGTGTGTAACGGCAGCAGGATGCCAGCGATGCCGAGCAGCACGCACCGGAGAAGCCCGTTTCCCCCGAGCCGCGCTTTGGCCGTGGCCTTCCTGTCGCTTGCGTCACCCTCGCTTGGAAGCAGAGAGCTGGCAGGGTCTGAAAGTGAATGTTTTGTGGTTGAGAGGGATCGAAATTCATCCAGTTTTTTTGGCAGCGGCGGCTGCTGGGGAGAGGCTGCGGTGCCGCCGGCCCCGTCGGAGGGACGGGGGAGAGTTTGGCGTGGAGTTGTGTGATGGCACAGCTGTCGGCACGACACAGCGAGGGAAGATTTGCATTTCAGGGCTGGAGTCTATGAAGTCGCTGTTTTTAGGAGGCAGTTCCCTGCGGTGCGTTTGAGCGCCAAGCGTCTAATATTTGCCGCTGTCAAACCGACCCGGCACCGGCCAGCAGGTAGTTCTGTTCCCTGGCAAAGTTCCGTGGGCTTTTCCTTCCACGATCGAAAGCGACTGTTGCTCGATGACTCTTGGGGCCTTTGTGCTGAAGGTTTTTTTGTGGTTTTAAAAAGGGCAGGTGAAAGAGGGAAGCGTGCATGTGGCTTTTTCGTGACGCCGGCATGAACGCTTCGGCCTGCACATAGGATCCGTTTGCCTCAACACCGGGGAAAGGCTGGTGGTGTCCTGGTTAAGAGCACCAGATGGTGAGGGGTAATGTGGGAAACGTTTCTGGGAAGGGAACGCTGCTAAAGGACTAATTGGAAACATTTTTCTCTCTTGTCAGCGGGAGTCGGTCTTCGAAAACGTTCAAACCCAAGAAGAACATCCCCGAAGGCTCCCATCAGTACGAACTCTTGAAGCATGCGGAAGCGACTCTGGGGAGCGGCAACCTTAGGCAAGCGGTGATGTTGCCGGAGGGAGAGGACCTTAACGAATGGATCGCAGTTAACAGTAAGTCCTGTGGAAGAGGGATCCGCCCGAGCGTGGAGGTGGAGCGGGAACACCAAAAACCTCCGGGTTTTTATCCTTAAAAGAATCTAGAACTTCCCCAAATGAAATTCTTATCCCAGGCTGCTCTCTTTAGGCAGCTGAGCTGGGATAAAAGGAAAGCAAGTGGCGTGCCGCACTGACAGCAGTCGGGTCCTGCCTCAAAGGAGTGAGAAACAAACCCGCTCCAATGTAGTTTTGGGGTGGAATTTTTGAGTTGGGACTTGCAAAGGCGATTAGGTTTGTGAATTTTTGTACTGGGGAGTTAGTGTCAAGTATCAATAGCTGGAATGACAAAGTCATCAGCTGCAAAAACGGGGACCATGAACAGTCCAGGGGAAAAAGCAGAACCGTGTTCTCCACTGAACTCTGGTTTGTGGAGTTTCTTGCTGGTTTTCTGGTTTCGTTTTATTATTGCTGCATGCAGAGTTTAAAAAGCCAAACGCTACGCGTTTATTATACGTTTAACAGTTGCTCCCCCTGGCCTTGAACTTTGCCTCTTTGGAGGTTAGAGAAGGAAAAAGTGGTTTTGAGCAATGGAAAACAGTAAATGAGGCCGTAAGTGTTCAGCCTAAGGAAGGTCTCCTGTATTATCGAAATCAATCAGGTTTTTGAGGTGCTGGAACCCAAAGCAGTCGTTGCCAAGGTATGGAAAGGTAAGCGGAGCTTCATGCTGTACAGATTGGCTCTGGGCAGTAGCCTGATGGTGAAAAACGGACAGAGCGATGCAAAGTCCTCAATGGTCAGAATGTCTGACCACCAGAAAGTCATCGGCCATGTGAGGCCATATGGAAGGGGGATGTTTGAGCTTTGGAGGACGTTTGCCCTCGTGACAACAACCCTCCAAGGCTGTGTCACCTGAACGAGAGGGAACTGGCGCTCCAGTCCGTGCAGTGTTCGCGCCTCGAGTAAACCCAGTGCATTTCCTTTCCAGCCGTGGATTTCTTCAACCAAATCAACATGCTGTACGGGACCATCACGGAGTTCTGCACGGAGGTGAGCTGTCCGGTCATGTCTGCTGGACCGAGGTAAGTTTACTGCAGTCTGTGGCTGCAATTTAAATGTGGAGAAGCAGGTGGGGGTGCAGGTTGCTCGAGCATGTGTAGAAAGAAGTTAAAAAGAGGACGGGATGCGTCCAGATCAGGTCGAGGCACAGCACTGTGCTGCTCATACCCGCGTGCGAAGCCAGGCCATCTGTCAGGGAAGCTGCGTGGCATCAGTAGCCGTCGGTTTGTCTGGCACGTTGAGTATCTGTCCAGCAGAAGCACGTGTGGGCATCTCTTCTCCCCCCGTCCGTCAGGTCCCTGTGGTGTTTGGAAGCTGAGAAGATGTGCTGTTGGAATGGTTGGTTTGAAGGAAAATGAGGCTGGTGTCATCGGCCCGGCCTGAAGCACGCTGATCCTGGCGCTCATCCGGAGTCCAGAAGCGTGGGCAGTGGTTTTCCAGAGGCACGTTTAGCTCCCTGCCATAGCGTACCTGCTTTGTAGGAGAAGGTCAGGGCATGGTGGAAGGCAGAAAGAAATGCAGCAAAGGTGGATTTGGGGTGCTTGGAGGTGCGAATACCTGCGGGGGAGAAGGACATGATGTGTTGGTTCTGCACTGGTGTGTTCTGGCGAGGCTGCGGCAGGGTGTCTCAGGCTGCTTGAGGCTCTCGGGGCAGCAGCAGGGGGTCTGGCTGGTGGGCAGTGTTTGTAGGGCACTGTGTAACACAGAATCACAGACCTTGAACACTTCCAGGGATGGGGCAGCCACAGCTTCTCTGGGCAACCTGTTCCAGTGCCTCACCACCCTCAGAGGGAAGAATTTCTTCCTTGTATCTATCTAAATCTCCCCTCTTTCAGTGTAAATCCATTGCCCCTTGCCCTGTCACTACATACCCTTGTGAAAAGTCCCTCCCCAGCTTTCCTGTAGCCCCTTTAAGTGCTGGAAGGATCATCCTGCCCCGCATTTCTACCCCGTAGTATCTAGTTGCGAGTTCCTGTTTCTATGTTTGGGGCCGTTTCCTGTAGCAATTTCCTGTTCAAGTGGCACCGTTTGTTTTTGCGTGTCGGCGATCAAGGGGCAGCAGTCAAAACATGGGGCTTTTTCCCCTCTGCTTTTGAAGGATTTTGCAAAAGCTCTCAGAGCAAGCGGGTCGTGTTGTCGCGTGGCGTTACAGACAACACACGCCCTGGTCTGGAGGAGCTGTGGGATCGATAAGCATGGCGATTTGAGACAATGGCTTCCAAAAGCCTTTGGCTAATGTGTGGCCTCGGGGATGCTGGCCGTATGGTGTGAGGGGAGAGGGGGTGCCAAATTCCTGGAGGATGTCTGAAAGCCACCGGTGAATTAAACCAGATGGTGGGCGATGGCCCAACGCTTCCTCTTTGGCCAGTTTTTGCCTCGTTTAAGGAACCAGTGGTGTCAGAGTAGGTTGTCACCAAGCTGAAGTTTGCTTTTGAGAGTCAAACCCTGAGGGTGATGGCACCGAAGGTGTTAACTCTGACTCCCTTGTGTTGTGCTTGAGAAACTGGGAAAGGCAAAGCACTGCCCTCCTTGCTTCCGAGGAGCACAGAGTGTTGCGGCGTCACTCCTTACTGAGATACGGAGCAAGCCGCGGGGCCCAAAAGTGCAATTTTTCCTCTGGGAGCAAAGAATTCCTTTTCCTTCCCGCTCCCTGCAGGTACGAGTACCACTGGGCGGACGGCACCAACATCAAGAAGCCCATCAAGTGCTCGGCCCCAAAGTACATCGACTACCTGATGACGT